ATTTACACTGCACACGTCTGCGGTGCAGTGTGGCTCTGATACGGCCACTGAAGCTGATTGCGGCCACTCTAGTCAGTGCTTGTTTATTCCAGCCGTGCCACACACATTTCTGAAGTGGCTCTCTGTGCTGCTTCTGTAAAGATACGCCTCCTTTGAATAAATATAGCCAAAATCCGTCAAAATCCCACCAAAATCCGTTGCCATGATTTATCGCGAGAGGCAAAAGTTTACGTTTTAGTTGCATAACATTGGTTAATGGAAACGCTGTCATTTCGCAATACTTTTTTATCGACATTAATAAAATATCGCCAAAGTTTTGTGCAAATCTGTAATGGAAATGTGCCTAGTGTCAACAGCTTTGACATAAATGCTGGATACTTGTGTTTGTGTGTTCTTAGGAGTTGCGAGAACGGGTTTTAAGGGGCAAGTACAGGATTCCCTTCTATATGTCGACCGACTGTGAGAACTTACTGAAGAAATTCCTCATACTCAACCCAACCAAGAGAGGGAGCCTTGAGGTTTGTACATTCATAAATACTTACATAATCTTCTGTCTTGACTTTTAAATATTGTGTAAAGTCTGGTCTACATTGCTGCTTATTCTGGCAAAGACGATATTGGTGTTTCTTCGATTTTAGGCACTTTGTCTCAGAGGTTGATTTTTATTAAAAACAGATTGTATAGATTTTGTTTTACCCTTTTCCTAGAGTTTTGATCTTAAAATATGTAAGTGTATCATAAAAATGTGAATTAAGTTTAAATCAGTTCAACAAACCAGAAGGTTAAATAAACTATATTAAGATCTGTTGTTTGAAAATTTGATATAAAAAATTTGCTTCAAATTAGCTTATTGAATATTGTATGCAAGATTCAGTGCCATGAACCTCTCAAATTATGGCAAATCCAGTGATCAGCTCTGCCTGTGCAGCTACCTGTTACCTGGTAAAAATGATAGACTTGATATAAACCTTTATTCCTGAAAATTACATAAAAGCCGGATCTGATGATTTTAGCCAGCTTTTGCTATTTTTGTGTGCTGTATGCATCAGACTGTTCACGGGAGGTCTGTGGGCGTACAGTCTGAGGCTTAGACTCTGCACAAACAACTGTTTGCAGATCGATATTTTTTCTTGGACTGATTCAGCTTTTCAGCACTGTGATGTGATTTTGAAGTGCTGCCCTCAGTTGACTGTCTGTGTGTATCCTCTTCAATAAAGGCCAACTATTTTTTTTTTTGCGTCATGCTACTTTACACCAGTGATCCACACCCCATATGATCTCTTCACTTTGTACCCTTTCCTTACTTGCGCTTAGCAGCAGATCATGAAGGACCGTTGGATGAACGTGGGCCATGAGGACAACGAGTTGAAGCCTTACATTGAACCCCAACCCGACTACAAGGACCCTAAGAGGACAGGTCAGCACCCCAGCAGTGCAGGGGTTTGGAAGAGAGGTGGGGCAGACGTGGCCTGGGGCTTTAGTGATGGTGGTGGGTGGGGTTTGAGATCGAGATGGATCATGATTGGGTAATATATCTTGGTGATGGGACTTGAATCTGAATTCCATACATCAGCTCATTTAAGCCTCTTTATTTGCGAGTTAACACAACAACTCATGTTTTTCCTGCTTTATAACACTTTTCTGTTTTCTTGTGTCTCTACAGTGTGTGGTTTGTGCAGGATTATTGTTTTCTTTCATTTTGAGAGTTGTTACTTTCAAAATGAATATATTTAGTTGTGTTGCTTATACTTGAGGTTAGTGTTGTGTAATGAAAATATAAACTATTAAAGGTTTAGTGCATAACTCATCTTGCAGCATTTGTGCTGCAGACAAGAATGATACCATAATTTTTATTACATTTCTAAGCAATCAGACTTTCATGACCGGTGGATTGCATTTTAGGAGGGATCTCAGCCATATATAGTAACCAGAATATTGTAGAGACATGGTTGATAGGTTATTTTGGCTTGAGCACATAGAAATCACCAACCCAAACACCCAGCACACCTTAGAATGCACATAGCAACTACCCATGATACCCGAGCATCGTGGCTACAGTTTATGCTTGTGGAAACACTGAATATAAAACTCTAGTTCAAGAGGTTGTCATCAAGCAGGTAAGCCGTTTTTTTCTTACTTATTTAACTCTTTTGTCTGTCTTCTCAGATATTATGCTACGGATGGGATACTCTCTAGATGAGATACAAGATGCCCTGGTCAAACAAAAATACAATGATGTCATGGCAACTTACTTATTACTGGACTATAGGAACTCAGAGGTATTTTACTCTAAAGATCATGTGAATATCTGTGTTTGTGTGCATGTAGAACTGTAATAGCTTTTGGTTTTGTTCTGTTTTATTTATTTATTGCTTTTTTTCCATTGTTTTGTTTTTGTTCTGTTCTTTTTTTTATTGTTTTGTTGTGTTCTGTTTTTTTCATTGTTCTTTTTTGTTCTGTTTTTTGTTTTATTCTGCTCTATTGTTGTTTGTTGTTTCTTTCCGTTTTTTGTTTGTTTGTTTTTTAGTTGTTTTTTTAGTTGTTTTATTTCATTTTTGTTTGTTTTGTACTGTTTTTTTGTTGTTGTTGTTGTTCTGTTCTGTTTTCTGTTACATTTATTATAACCGCTACATTCAGGCAATTATGCAAAGAATTTCCAGAATTAGTCTTTAAAATTGGCACCTTACCATTCATATACTCATGTATATGATTATATTTTGAGAGGCTTCATTAAAAATGACATGAATCATTACACATATGAGTACCTAATTGTACAGTTCCTGTTTTTGCAATGGCAGTTGTTTTAACCATAGTAGTGTAAAAATGCAAATTTAAAGCGCAAAGCACATATGTACCTTTTTTTTTTCTTCTTTCCTAGCTGGATGAACTATCAATAAAGGCCCGCCCAGGCACTGACCTCACAAACAACGCCCAATCATCTCCTCACAAGGGACAACGCAATACCTCCAATCCGAAGTCCCGCAGATCCACAGACCAAAGTACAGCATCATTCTGCTGGTCATTAGCCACCATAATCGCCGGCTGGTTTGGTTTGTAAAGCTCACACGTTTTCCCTCTACACTGCAGGCTCCTCTGTTTCCACCAAGCGTACTCAGGGCGACAGCAAGCACATCGGTGGTTCAGGCAGCTCCAGTAAAGTCCCTCCCAGCCCACTGATCTCTGGAGACCATAAGAAAACTCCTACCCCTTCCACTGTGAGTACAGAGCCCCCTAAGGAGCTGATGACTGATACACAGCCACGGGTGTGATCTCACGTCACTGATCTCTCTGTGTGCTCTTCATGTGCCATATAGAACAGCATCCTGTCCTCAGGCACCAGCCGCAGCAGGAACTCTCCAATCACTGAGAGAGCCACGCTAGGAGTACAGAATGGCAAGGACAGGTACTGCCACATTCCTCTTTATGTACAGAGTCTTCGTTTCATGCTACGAATCACATGGATGCACCCATCAAACTCATTTCTGCAAAGTGGATTGGTGTTAAAAGTAGTGTATGTGCTTATGTGTATATTTAGACTGTTTGGAAAGCTTCTCTGCTCTCGACTCATTTTGTCAGGCTGCTGCCCTGCCAGCATGGGAAACATAATCCTGTTATGTGCACACATACATTCACACATTGACAATCGCACACATTCAAACACACATTCGAACGCAGCACGAAGCTGAAATCTGTTCAGCTAGATTTGCAACGCCTTCAGGAACTTAGAATTAGTCCAAGGATTTAAAAAAAGAGTAGGTCATGATTCAAGAGCTGAGCAGCTTGGGTTCCTTTCAATACAATAAAATAATATTCTGAGTTATTTTCAATTTAATGTCTTTCTGTGGCATGCTGGTGATTAAAACTGGCAATAATTTTTGACTCCTCATTCAGGGAAACTCATTTACAGCTACATGCTTACAATTGCAGCACAATGAATCAATGTTTAAATTATCTCAGTTTGAAAAGTATAATTGTAACAAACATTTAGACATCTGTTCAAATGTTTGAGGTCAGTACAGTTTTTATGTTTTTGAAAAGTCTTACATTCTCATCAAGGTGGCCTTTATTTGACCACAAATACAGTATAACTATAATATTGTGAAATATTATTGCAATTTATATTCTAGTTTAATGTGTTTTAAATGTAATTTATTCCTGTGATGGCAGAGCTGAGCTTTCAGCAGTCAATACTCTACTCTTCAGTGTCACACAATTTCAAAAGAACAAAATTTTTTTTGTAACATTATAAATGTTTTTACTGTTACTTTTGATCAGTTTAATGTATCCTTGCTGGATGAAAATGTTAATTTCTTTTTTTAAAAATCGTACTGACCTCCTTTTGAACAAAAGTGTGTATGTTAGCGTACGACTGCTGTGTTGTAGAATCTCTTACGGACCCTGCCTGCTCAAGGTTATATCCTTTCATCTTTCGATTCGTAATCTGACCAGCTAAACAGTAAATCTGGTTACTTTTAGTAAGCGCAAGTTTTGCAAAATCTGTAACTCGATTTTCATCTGCCTAGAAAAGTAGTTCTACCCAGAAAGATAATTTGGATAACAGCACAGTTAGAGCAGACAATGTAAGTGCTTTTTACAGAAATACGTGCTGCACATGTCCTCTTAAACCCTCTGGGCAGCATGCCAACTATTGTAACTGCATTACTTCATTTTTTACAAACTCGGGGACAAGCAGGAACTATTGTCTGTGTAATCGACAGAATGCCACAGATGCAGTCGATATATATCTTGCGTTGTAAACTACCCAGAATATTTCTCTAATGATTCCTATTTAGGTTCACATAAATATCAACTGTGGTGAATTCCTGTAGTCAGAGCACTGCAAATTAAGCATGTTTACTACCATATTGATACTAAAATAAAAAAAAGTGTGATCTGAAACATATTATATGTAGACATGCTAGTGTCTTATCATTTATCAAACAACAATATTGCTAAACAGATTAAAAAGAGAAAACGACTCGCTACACTGAATTTATTGCATGATTCGTTTGAATTTATTGACTGCTTACGAACAGAATTACAAGTTAATATCACAGTCGTGTAAAACCTGGTAATACTGGGAAAGTTTAAAATTGATATTTACATTCCAATCATGTAATCGAGCAAAATCAATTTATTGAAATTCGTAGAAATATCTGTAGTGATTTTATATTTTTCTAGTTTTGCTCTTCTCTAAAATATTACATTTCCTAGATGGAGTAAAACCTGCCCACAGTCCAGAATAGAGTGTCTTATTGGAGACGGTTGTACACAAATAATGAAAATTAATTAAATATACACATCTCTTCTTTTTTTTTTAAATCCACATCCTTTAATCAACTGGAAAAGACATTCATTGCGCAAAGTGTGGGAACCCTGTTACCTATTGGTAAATCGACTATTGAAATTTACTGCAGATATACTGAGTCAAACTGATGTATTACCCTTGATTGGTATGTAGTCAGTCTCATCCCTTAGTCTGGAATTCGTGATTTTGCCCAACCGAAATAATCAGGTTACACAGCGAAGAGATGCAGGAAACTGTATGATATGGATGTTTACGTTTGCTTGATGTGACAACCCGCAGCACAGTAAGAATGCTGACGTGGAAAGAGTTTTATGTGTGCGCGCAAGGTCAGTTTGCAGAGCAGCAAATAAAAATACAGACATTATGGCACTGACCGAACACCTGCCACCAGATCACCCTCACAAATGCATCAGATGTCTTTCGTCTGCTTTTATCCTGCATGTATTATGATCGGTTTGATAACTTCATGCCCATGAGGCTTATGCTGTCAGACTCGTTTGATCATCACTGCATCTCGTTTTAGATTCTCACTCGATGAGCAGAGACGGAGTGAGCTTTCCAGCAATAATGCAAGTTTGATCCAACTTTGGCAAGCTTTGATCTATATACTGTAGATCTAAAAATAGACTTAAAGGGATAGTTCACCCAAAAATGAAAATTCTGTCATTAATTACTCACCCTCATGTCGTTTCAAATCCGTAAGACCTTTGTTCATCTTCGGAACACAAATTAAGATATTTTTGTCTGACCCTGCATAGACAGCAACGCAACTGAAATGTTCCTAAGTCCAGAAACGTAGCAAGGAGATCTGTAAAATAATCCAAGTGTCATCAGTGGTTCATCCGCAATTATACAAAGCTACGAGAATACTTTTTGTGCGCAAAAGAAAAAAAAAAACACGACTTTATTCAACAATATCAAAAATATCTTAATTTGTGTTCCGAAGATGAACGAAGGCCTTGCGGGTTTGAAACGACATGAGGGTGAGTAATTAATGACAGAATTTTCATTTTTGGGTGAACTAACCCTTTAAGACCAAAATAGCATCCAAACCTGCATTATCGCACCCGCAGCATTGTATTTTTATCTCCTGGTGTGTGCTTTTGTCTTATTCCATCACTTTCTCAACCATCCCTCCATCTTTGCTGAATCTAACCTGTCTGCTTTACAACCTCACCCATACCTCCCTCCACTCTGTACGTGGGGGGTGTCCGCACATGGGGGCTGTTGTTATTAGTCTTTCCCCTAGCTTGAACACTCCAGGGTCCCGCGCCTCCACCGCCTCAGCGGCCGCGGTCCTCGCCGCCTCATCCCGCACCCGTCACCACAAGTCCTTGTCCACCTCTGCCCACCCCAGTCCCCCAGACTTCCATGCACATCGCCCCAGGCAAGTGGCAGCCAGAACCAAAACTGTTCGGATGGGGATTCGACTTCAAGAGTCAGGGACGAACTAGGACGTATAGATTGTTTTTAAAGCAGAAACTTTAAAAGTTTTTGGGGGGTTTGAAATACATGAGATCCACAGACAAAGTACCAAATACGTCATGCTAAGAGATAAGAAGGCCCTCACTTTTTTTTAGCCTTGCCTACTTTTCTCACTTGTTGTCCGTCACAATAACACGCCGTCTTACTCGCCGTCCCACTTTCTCCTCCACATAAACACACGTTATTCACATCATGTACCTGACAGTCTGTTCTTTTCTAATTCATAATGCACATGCAAGCTTTAACTCATTGTCTTTTGTTCTCACAAGGTCCTCCCTCACTTATGCATGTGTTGTGTGTTGTGTTGCTCTGCTGCCCTATCCTTCTCCACCCCTTCTTTTCTGCAGCCAAACCAGACAGTGCATTCATATCCTCTAAAACCTCTCACTGCTTACGTAACCTTTAATAAAGACGTTTTGTGCCATCCCGGAATGTTAAAAGCTTGTGTCACAGACAGTTATATGCATGCTAACAATGGTTTTGTCTCCCTCCCTGAAGAGTTTCTTCAGTTTTTTTGGTTTTCTGTTGTTGTTTGAGTCTCATCTTTTGTAGGTAATAGCTAATAGCTGCATGATAACTATTAAGGGTGATGTGTGTAATCAGTGTTAAAATACTTGTCTTCAGTTTAATGTAGGTAGACAACTATAAGTTAAGCATTTGTCCTTAAATGTTAAACACTCTGTGAATACATTGCATTAGGGTGTTGATATAAAAAAAATCTGACCAATAGAAGATTATTTTTACACTATTGTTCAGAAATACAGTAAACACCGTTATATGGTGAAATATTACAATTTAAAATATAAAATACAGATTAAATATATTTTTAAAATGTAATTTATTCCTGTGATGGCAAAGCTGAATTTTCAGCAGTCATTACTCCAGTCTTCAGTGTCACATGAAAAAATCATTCTCATTTGCTGATTTGCTGTTCAAGAAAAACATCATAGTTGAAAAGTGGTGCTTAATATTTTTGTAGAAACTTTTTTTTTTAAAGAATTCTTTGGTTTTGTCTTAAAAAAAAATATATAATTTTAAATGCTACAAGTGGATTTAGTCTTCACAGCATTATAATGTACAGTACGCAAAATAGATTCACTTTGAAAGATTACATTTAACAATGTTATTAAATTGTTTTTTTTAAAGATTAACATTTGCTGATTTTAAATAAATAAAATAAAATAAAATATTTGTCAATAAACAATACGGTACCGATATATTTAGTAATAGTGTGAGGTCAGGATGGAGATTATTTTTGAAAAGTAATTTTTCCTGTTTTGTTAGGTGACACACAATTGTGATCCAGGAATTACACACTTCACCTTTAACAATTATGTTATGATTAACATATTAACCGGTTGTATGGTTTTGTAACTTTAAAAAAAATATATATAAAAAATGTGGTCCTCATGTGATTTAAGCCTGTGGCTTGTCACATGTCTGGCATGGTACAAAAAGGGCTGATGGTGGAATTATACTTTCACACGCAAGTGCATGCCTGGGTTTTATTCCATCACTTTTTAAAATCAATCTCAAATTAAATGTAGGTTCTTTTCCACAAGGATGATTTGTCTGCCATGAGTGCATTAGCAGCAAGAGCTGCAGTTGTTAGCATAATGAAATGGCCTATTCATGCTTTTGTGCCTGATTATTGTAGCTGCATGTTGCTCTGAAGTGGCTTATATTTATTGATGCTGTTTTGTATTTGAATGGCTGCTAGACTGGATTATTGAGTACTAACTGATATTCTTTTCACCTTTGCAAACAATTTGTAAAAAAAAAAACAGCACGGCCAACCAGAAAGCACCAGTGGTGTCCCCCTCAGCTCAGAACATAAACATTTCCTCAATGGCTGATCGTACCAACTTCTCCAGAGGGGTGGCGATTAGAAGCACTTTCCACGCCGGCCAGCAAAGAGCCACACGAGACCAGCAAGCCTCAGCGTACAATGACCCCTCTGCCTCCCCCTCCCTTTCCCATGGCAACAGCCAGGTGCGCCGTCCTGGGACAGGCATCTTCAGCAAGTTTACTTCCAAATTTGTACGCAGGTGAGTTCATGATCCATCCACATGGTGACACTGTTACTTGCGTTTACTTAAGTGAACTATTAGGTGAACTCTTAGGAATACACATGCACGCATTCTCATGACTCTCACCAGTGCTCCCCTCTTTCAGGACGAGATGGTTTGGACTGGCACTGTTTTTTATCGCTAAGATCATGAACTCAAACAAATGGCTGCTGGAGCAGAGATGGTTTTAAGTGTGAGAGATGCTAACTGAAGGATTACTAACATATGAAATTCAGGGTTCCCACGGTCAGGGAATACCTAGAAATATCAGGGAGTGATTTCCATGCCTAGAAATGTCATGGAAATTAATTACGTCTTAATTTGTTTTTTTGTAGTTCAATCACATAAGCAAATGGTATACATGTTTTTTTTTATCTTTATCCGGCAATCATGAATGACTTGGAAAATCCTAAAAAATTTGCGAAAAGGTGTGGGAACCCTGCAAACCAAACCCTAATCTAACATCCATCATTCATGCAATGCATTTACAATTCAGTTTCCTCAGCAATCTTAAACGCCCTGTGTAACTTCAAGTATAATTCATGATCTTTAATCTGACTACAAATCCTGGTGCCCTTTTCAGTGCCCCCAGCTAACACTAATGGTCAGAAAAACCTTTCATAGGTTTCATAAAGAACCCTTTTTAACCTCTTCACCTATCAGCCAAACAGAATGTATTTCATCTTTTTTGAGAGATTTTCCAATGGTTCATGCACATGAAAAACACATTGTTTCCTTTTTTTCTCTAATTTTTTTTTTTTTTTTGAAAT